CATTCACGATGCTCAGATGCTTTCTGGCTGACAATCTCTTAATTTTTAGTCTGTCTCATTTGATAAGGACTCCAAATCAAATGCTGTATTATTTTAAGTGCAATTGTCAGCCTTATTTTAACAACGGCTTCTCTCTATTATTTAACCTGAATCCAGGAGGTAATACGTTCTCAAATACAGAGGGAGTGGCCTGCACTCAAGGAAATAAACTCAAATCCCTTTACTTCTTCAGTTTAGATCAAACTTAGGAGGCACATTTGGCTTTAGTTCTATTTTCTGTAGTTATGCTTATGACAAAATACTATAAGGCAGAAATTTGGTCATTTGCTACCTGTTTCCTTCCTTGCTTGCTTCCTTCCTTTTTCCTTTTGTCTTTCTTTCTGTTCATCCACCTGGCCACCTATATATCTGTGTATGTTTTAATTTATCATATATCTATCTATCTATCTATCTATCTATATTTATCTTTCTATCCATCCATCCACTCACCTATCTATCTATCCATCCACCCATCTTTGTGTGTGTGTGTGTGTGTGTGTGTGTGTGTGTGTGTGTGTATGTGTGTGTGTGTGTGTGTGTGTATATAACTATCTCTATCACCTATATAATTTAAAATAGTAGACCAGCTTCTCCAGGACCCCAAAGACATGCCTACTTATCCCTGTTGAGTTTTTAAAAAGAACTACTAATTTACTTCTCTCTTAAACAGCACCTTTTATTTGTTGGTTATGAGTATCGGAATTAAACAGTGTTGTAGCATGTGGCTTGTGACTACAGCCTGAATATGACCAGTCTTGGCCACATTTTATTAACATTTACCAAGTTACTCTAGTGAGTTTTTCCTGAGGTCCTAAGGCACAGGTATGTGTATGTGCATTGTACACATGTATGTATGTCAGCACACATATATATGTATGAACATACATATATATTTCAATTGCAGAGAGCAAGATAATTGATATTATGGCATTTTCATTAGATTGTCTATTAAGCTGAACTTGCCATCACACCATGCTTGTTATACAAAAATAGAAATTTCATATGGTATAGTCTAATACTTCCAATAAAACTTCAAGATCTCAAAAATCAAACAAACTAAAAGGGGTAGAAAATAAACAAAGGCCAGTTGCTTGCTGTCTCTTTTGCTCAGTCTTGGGTCATCTGTACTGCCAAGTCTCTAACTGTATGTATAAAGCTGCTGATTTCAGGGATTCTTAAAGGAAATACATCGTACATGAAAGATGAAAGGGTCCCTGGTACCTATCAGTGCAATGGGATCATTATGAAATTTCTGAGTGAACCGCTTTGTATCACTTTCTTCTCGAGCTGGTCTGTGTCTAATTCCCTTCTGTCCTAATGTGGAGAGACGTTCTCATGCACTGGCTGTTAGATGTTAGGATGTCAGCAAGCAGGACAAGCATGACAAATACCTGCCTTTCCGAAGAGATCACATTTTCATCCAAGCTATGTACACACCATAGGTATTTCCCCAAACATTTGTAGCATAATTCATTGAACAAGGAACCCCCCCCCCCCCGCCCCCGCTTCAAACCGCCCCCCCCCCCATCCCCTTGTTTGGCTGCTCAAAGATGCAACAACCATCAAGTCATAATACACAAAGAAACCAAGAGCCAATCCATAGAGAGAAGCCTGCCCCCAGGCTAAATCCAAGCAAGCCATTCCTCGAGCTAATGTGATGATGGACCTGCCAGATCCAGAACGTATCACGGACACATCAGCAACACCAAGTAGCATGCAATGACCAGATGACCATCGGCCCCACTGCCATGCTTTCATTGGTTCAAGCTCAGAACACAATCTCCTTGGACAGTTTGGACAGTTGGCTTTTCATAAATCAAAGTGAGGTTGGAAATAAAGATTTGGTGAGGTCAAGTGCTTACCAAGTATTTCCTAAATGCCGAGGAAAGATGTTTGCCTATTCCCATTAAATGCATCAAGGAGACTACCAAATCACCTAGTCCAGTCAGGTCTTTTTCTTTTGGGGAAATCTCTGCCCACACCAGATGGTCTTCGTTCTGGAGGTCAGCGTTCAGAAACTCTCAGGATGCTCCAAGGTAATCAGCATGTGATAGTTTAACCAAGAAAATGATGGGCAGAGAGTTGCAAGCTGCCCATCAAGGACCTTCTGGGCCGTCCTGAGGTTACCTGAGTTCAATATTTTTCAAAGGTCCCTGAATTTTTAATTGGGTGAAAGCTTAATTTGTGCTGATAAAAGGTAAAATTCTACCAACTGGGGACACCAAACTTCTTTCACTTTCAAGACATCTGAAATGACTCATGGTGACAGGGCAGGTTGCTGCACTTTCTCTTTGGAACAGGTTGCGAACTATGGACATTACCAAAACATTCTAATTCCTGCTGATTTTACCTCCTATCCTGGATGGGTTTCTTTGGGTTAAGGAGTTTTCCTCTTTATCTTCTGGAGAACAGGAGCTAAGAATCGATCACTATTGATATTATACTGTCATTGTGTTAAAATAAAATATTAACAGCTGCCCTAAGATAAATTCTAGATACTTGGCATCTTCAATCTAGATTCAAAAGCTATTCTGATAATTTCACCGAAACATGTGTCTTCTATAAAAGGGTCTTTCTTCACCTTACCTGTTTACTAAAAGTAATAGGGAAGACCGCCACTTCATAAATACACTTTACAAATCAAACCAGAAATATCATTTTAAAGATTGTTTTCTGGTAATTTACCTATTACTGCATTTACTCCAATGCTATATTTCCATATGTGGCATGTGTCTTGCTTATAATACAGTTAAATAGGGTTGGTAACCAATTTACACAGCAAGTAAGAAGACCTAATGTGCAAATATTTTTAATGAACAGCAAGAGGCCAATTACATGGATAAGACTATTACCACTGAGTTTGTTTCTTCAACTGAAACTATTAGACTCAAGTGGGAATTGTAAAGTTATTCAAAATTTACCAATTCAAGAATGAGGGCAATTTTTCAGTAAGACATGTTGCCAATGAGAATCTTAATAAAATTAAAATAACAGATTTTCATACACATATTTGCATATATGGTGCCCGCAAATGCAACAACATTTTAACTTAAGTTTTAGATGAATACAAAAGGAGATGGACAGATCCTCAAGTAATTCTATCTAAGAATAGTGTTAAACATTATTTTTTTTTAAAATGTCTAAATTGGTCTAATTGAAGAACGCAATTTAAGTGAGATCTTTGTAATTAACCTTGTTTTCAACTTGGGGGTAGATGCACTTATACTGAGAAGCAAGATAAAAATCCCTCCAAAAATAAATCTGTTTAAGATTCTTATAATTATATGGCAGGCTTAAGTTACTATGATTATAATTACATACAAAGTGGGTGTTTACGAATTTAACATCTAGAAATATTTTCATAAAAATAATTAAGGATTGTAGATAAACCACATTATAACTGATACTTGGTGAATCTTTGGTGTGCAGAATTTAATAGCGTTAAGCCTTTTCATTTGTAGGATAATCTTAAGTACTTCAAGATTGTCAACGTTTTTATTAACCTACTGACCCTCTCCTTTTTCCTAATCCAGTGTCAAAGTGTATTGAAGATAGCAACTTACACAAAACCTATTTTTGTAATTATTGGGTAACTGCATAATTTATGCATTTGGATCTGAATCTTGCCAATTGTTTGAATTTCTTTGGAAGCTCCCTCCAGCCTTGAGACCTCGTTATGGTTGTTTTTTAAGAATACAGTAATAATTCCTGCATACAAGCAGAAGGCAGATCTCAACTCCACCTTGCCAAAGAGCCATTTTATTACATGTGTGTGCACGGGGTTTTCAAAGTGCCGTTCTTAAGGCTCAGCAATTTCCTTTGCTTTATGAGACCTCAGAAGAAACCTGTAGCCGCAATGAGCTCACAACACGCCTGGGAGGGATGGAATGGAACTGCAGGGAAAGCACCAGAGCAAACCCAGGTAGGAGCCCAGTCACAACAGGCCGGGGGGGAGGACCAGTGGCTGCCGACACCTCCCATTCAAGATCAAATACATCTCCTTGCTTACCTGTCTGACCCAGCATGCCTCAGCCATACATGCAAATTGTTATCATCACTGCTTTATTCATGAAACATATTTTTAAATTAAAGGAGTCATTACCCAAAATAAGCACCCTCAGTGACATTTGAGCATGCAGAGCATCTGAACATTCACATTTATGTCCTCAGGAAACAGAGCCAACGCGTTGCATTCAATATGGAAACACACACTTTCTTTTTTCAAGGCACCTAAACAGAAATAGCTGCGGCTTGTCGTTTCAGGAACCGAGTCATCTGTTAAGCCTGGGTAATTGGTCATAAAGCTCTTCCACACCAACCCTCCCCCGCCATCCATTATGACTTGTGCATTTTTTAAACCCACTCTGTCCCTTCTGCTGCCTGTCTTAGGGTGTGGTGTGCATTACAAATAAAAGTCGGCTTGTCTTAGTAGGATTGGACACTGGATGTTTCAAAAAGAACCGACCTCCTTAGGAATGCCAGCTACGCCTCCCCCATTCCTTTCTGATGGATGAAATAGTGGTTCACTGGGTGTAAAGCGCTGTAACAAAGGGAGATGGGGTACTTGCAATCAAGGTAAGCCTGCGGGTTCATCTTCTATTTTCTTCATCTGAGCTGGATGAGACCATGGTCTTCCAGAGAAGACCATGAGCAGGTTGCACAGGGAGTGTGCATGTACATGCAAGGTGTGCTGTCGCAAGGGCTGAAAGATCTCTACACAAACAAAACATACCATTTTCTTTGTGTCTTAGCAAAGAGGGCGAGAGTTTGGAATGAACTGGGCATCGCTGTCCATCCTGTCTCTGTGTGGCCCTCTTTGTGGTCTCACGTGGGACCTAACTTGGTGGGTGCTGCCTACCCAGATGTCATGCATTTGCATTAAGGCTGGACACGAATCTCGTCTCCCCACCAGCTGAGTTAATTTCCAAGTGGCTGTCAAGCACAAAAAGGAAGACCCTTACCTGTCACTGTAGGCAGCTGCAGTGGCTGGGGTAGGCTGGGCGTAGCGGTATGCAGCATAACCACCCTAAAACACAAGGAGAAAGTGAACTTAGCAATGCCAAGGAGCCCGACTCAGGGAGGCCCCATGGTGAGACCACACCAGAACAGCAGTGACCCAAACCTACCAGTCTAAAGTGGAGGTTAATGAAAGCTTAGTGTCAGAGCGGAAGTACAAAAACACACACCAGAGGGACAGGGGATTGGAGACCAACTCCAGCCGGATGTTAAAGGTTAGCAGGTGTAAGCATATCCCCAGGGGGAACCCAGGTACCCTTTGAGGGACATGTACCTAAGAGTTAACAGTGATTGTCTTGGGATGGGGAGGATTATGGGGAATTATTTAAATACTCTTGATACTTTGCTGAACTTTCCAGATTTTCAAAACCGATTATACTTTACTTTTACTTATTAACTATTAACTTACATTTTATTCAGTCTTTGATTCCTTCCTTAAAAAGCCAGCATAGGTTAAACCACTACCCTCTTGTCTTTTCTATTTATTTATTTTTAACCCCCATAGAAGGCAAGCTTACTAGTAATCTCCTGCATATATAGTTGTTTAACCAGTAAAGCAACTAAAGAAGACAGTCCTTAGCTTTGCACATCTTACATAATTATTTTTAAAAGGAATGGTAAATGCTTCTTAAAAATTCTGTCTTTTCGGCTAAAGATATCACAGAGATTCGGGTGGGGAATTTGGTGTGGAAAATATGATAAAGGATTCCAATTTGTAAATAAAATCATTAAGAGAGAAAAAAATCTGAAAAAATAATTAACATTTAGTTGTATGTACCAGTAATTGCAATTGTTCAATTAAGCAGAGGACAAGCAAATGGGCATATTTGAAAGGAATGTGTTCAGTGGAGCATTGCGTATCAAACTGTGAAAATAACAGAGCGTCTTGCTCAGCCGACCACGGCGAGACATCAGCCACCGTAGAATGATCTCAGCACAATTAAAAAACAGGCTCCAGGCTCCACTGATAAGACAGGGACCATTCAGGTTCAAATAGGAATGCAGTCCCACAATCCTCTGCGGGGTAACTCGGGACAGGCTACTGTGTCCACAGGCACCTAAGAGCAAGACCATGGATGTGCCAGAGGGTACCTAAGCGTAGAAGCGAGAGTAGAGGAGTTTGTTACATTTGGCTCCATATCCTATAGGGAAAAACCAAGCAGTAGGATAGGAGGCAGATGAATGGGGAAGCTCAAAACTCATCTTTTAAAATGTAGATTAAACTGGTCTCACTCATTTATTTCTACCTTCTACCACCCACAGCTCACTTTCAGAGGAATTTTGCCATCACTTACAGAGCAATTCTAGAAAGCTAGTTTGTCCTTGCACAAGTTTGTTCTTCGGATCAGTCCTGGAGGAGACAGATCCAAGACATTCTGACAGATAATCAGCAATAATTTGGAGCCAGATGAAAGAAAAAAAGTCTTCCTCGAAAAACAATGTAAAAGTAAAAAACACACATACAAAAAAAACCAACACAAAAAAACACGAGGTCTTAGGCAGACACCACCTGGTGTTCCAAACACCATGTTCTCTAATTAGGAGCGGGGAAACTCATTAAATGTGCTGAGGAGTTGTAAAACCAAAGCCGTTGTCACACCAGCACCAAGCTCAGACACAGCCTGGTGGGCTGAGGGGAAAGAGGTCACCAGATTTCTGGAGCCATTCTTTTCATTTGCCTGTCCATCTCTGTGGCTTTCTTGATGCATCCAGAAAGACAGGTGTGCAGGCCTGTGCAGTACACTTAATGAGGGAGGAGGGAGGGGCTGGAATTGGCTAGCTGATGGCTGGGAAGCATTAGCTGCAACCAGCTGAAAGCTCTGAGTGGAGAAAGTGTGTGTGTGCATGTGTATGTGTGCATGTGTATGTGTGCACATGTGTGTGAGAGTGTGTTATTTTTTTCTCTCACTCCCAGAATAATAAAAAAAAAATCCTGCCAAGATATTTTCATCAACTGCCACATCAATCAATCATGCTTTGGTGACTGTGAATTTGGTCCCAGCAAAGATTTTTAGCCTTGTCCCACTTGCAAATCCTCTTTGTTTGAACTCTGGTACGTCTCCCTCAACTTCTGCAGTAGTTTTTGTCAATGAAATTAGGTAACGAGTTTGATGAGTGGAAATAGCTGTGGCAGTGCACACAGAAGGTAACGAACATGAACCTCACTGAGCACTATGCCCATATTTATTGTATGAACCTAACATGGATATGTGTTCACCGGGGATCCATCCGCACCACAGACATGCTCATCTATGAAGCTTTGAGAGGACCCGTTCTCTCCATAGGTGCATATGATTTGGCCACTCAGAGAACATAGGCGTGTGTTTCCATGCAATACCAGCACCAGTGGTCAATGCCCTAAGGCTTATCTTTATTCACTAGGGATTTGTTTAAAAGCTCTCCAGATTTAAGAGTCAAGGCCATCATTTGCTAAAGTCTGTAGAGCCAGTGTCTGTGCTATATGATACAGTAGCCACTTGTCAGTGACTACTGAACACTGGAAATATAGCTAGTACAACAAACTGAATTTGTAATTTATTGAATTTGGGTTCATTGGAATGTAAATAGCCACACGGGGCTGGTGGTCACCCTAGTGAGTCCAAGTCTATGTGATCCCTGAAATATATAACAATTGGGAAAAGAAAAGGGTTAGGTGGCCTAATACCTGCACATCTATCTACTTCATTGCCTTCTGGACTGTTTTTCGTCTGTATAAAACCCATATTAGGGGAATAACAGAGTTGTGTATTAACTCAGTGTCTGTGTGCAAATACTGTAAAATTATCAAAAAAATACAAATGGCTTTAATTTGCCTTTCTAACAGGTAACTGTCATCAATTTTATTGCTCCATATTTTGCAGTTCGCTGAGCATAGCCAGAGCTGCTGCAAGGTTCTGTGCTAATGTCTGAAAAAAGGAGAGCTCACTTCCATTTGCTGTCACCAAACCGTGTCCATGTTGAAACTGGTCCTCCCAGATCTTAGGATGAAAATGTATCCTTGACAGTGAGATTTCCCCCCACTACCAATGGAAAAGGGGTGACAAACACAACATAGTTCTCCACTCCCTACTCATAAAACATACTCATTTTTCACATGCTGGACAGCAGCAAAATATAAATGTGACCTTATATGAAATATAAATTTTAAATGGCCCTTATAAATTGCCCCTCCCTCCCCTGCCACCACCATCGGATGGATGTAGCCACCTAAGATACTGGCTCACCGGGTCGGAAACATTTCATTTGTTACTGAGACTCCTGGAGGTCCTTTGGGGGAAGTTACTGATGTGGAATCTCTAGTGATGCCCTAATAAAGTATTTTCAGAAGTGTACTGCTGGGATACTAGTAGTAGCAGGGAAAAGGAAGGTACCTGAATCAGATAGGCTTGGGAATTACTTAATTAAACACTATGGAAGTGGTTGCTCTATTTGTGGAACTTAAAGCAATGCTGATGAGCACCATGGATCTCCACTGCATTGCAAAGTAGTTAGACAAAGGGAATCACATTGTTAACTTGAGAGCATACTTTTTGGAAAAAGATGTTCTACTATCTAAATGGTGAATTACTTGGGGGAGGTGAAACTTGTGGGTGCTGGTGGGGACCTGGGATGGGTGGGACTGTGATGGGCTTGATCACAGACACATCTCTTCCTCTCCAAGAATATCCCAGGATCTCACTTTGTGCAAAGCAGGTAGATCAGTGTATGTATAATGAACTCGACATTTTATGTATGAAAACAACATTTATAAGGACATTTGCAAGATGAGACACTTAAATATAAATCATTAATCTCTAATTTATCTGCATTATACATTCAGCTGTTTTTGAAATGTGGCAAGTTTTCTTGAAAGGTAAAAATAATAAAAGTACATGTCAGGAATTTTAATTAATTTGTCCTCTCTTAGTCTCAAGTACCCCTTTTTCATAATAGAGTTCTTATTAAAATGATTAATTTTCACAGTAAAAAATGTACTTTCTTAATGGACTTAATACTGAACAAAAATGATAATTGCAGGTTATAGGAAAACCCATGTAATAAAACTCCCACTGATTACCCTAGTATTACATTCTTCTTTCATTTTATTTGACAGTTTTAATGTTGGTTTTAGACCAAATTTGGAGACTCAACCATCTGCATTCCAATGAATGTGGGGCTCCTTTTCTTCCTGCAAATTTTTTCATTTGGGGGTTGCTTTGGCAGTGAGAAGTAGGTTTGGAAGCTATAGCAATGGGTGTGAAACAAATTTATAAGAACCCACAATGAAACCAAGAAGAAATATATTAGTTATCCTCAATACTAGATGCATAAGAGGTGTTTTGTTTTTGTTTTTGTTTAACCATTCCAGGTGACTCCTGGAACCTACTAAAATTTTTCTTAGACAATTGGTTCAAAGAAACCCTAGATTTCTTTTTCACTGAATTTATATTGATTGAGACCAGATGCATTTTAAGAAATGTATAGCCAAACCAGACCCCCATTTTGATACACTCATGATCTAGCAAAGGGGAAATTTGAGGATGACCATCTCCATTCTTGGAGAATTCACATCAAAACTGGAAAATTCAGTTCAGTCTTTCCTCCTATGTTAGGGAATATCTCCCTCCCTGGAATGGTCTTGTTAGTAAGATTTCACAGCAAACCCACAACCAGAGTGATGAGTTTTTCCACCAGTCAGGATTTCATACCTGTAGCAATTTATTGCCATACACAGGCTCTTGATACACTACTCTATAAGGAAACAGAAATGTAATGTTTTCAATGCAAAAATGAAATAAAAGAAAATGCATAAGTCAGACCGAAATTCCAGAGCAATTCATTTACAAGTTTGCTTCTTTTCACTAAGACCTGGAGTGACCCATGGCACCAGAAGAGGAACCAGTGCCAAACAGTTCTAGTTGCAAATTTCTGTAACTGAGAGAATCAAGAAGGGGGGGGTGGGGAGATGGGATCAAATAACTCACCGATTTGTATTATAACCCGTGTTTCTTTTTAAAGGAGGAAGAAAAG